TTTGGCTATATGAGACATCTATTTCCAGATTTGTTTTCGAATTCCTGTACCACTGATTTCCAATGTGATACTTGTATCTTAGCTAAGAGCCACAGAGTCTCTTATCCATTAAGTACAAATAAAAGTGTTACTCCATTTGCTTTGATACATTCTGATGTTTGGGGTCCTTCACCTATCTCTACAACTTCTGGCTTTCGGTGGTTTATCACCTTTGTAGATGATTGTACCCGCATGACTTGGCTCTTCATGATGAAAAATAAAACTGATGTGTTCCCTAAATTTCAGTCATTTCACAAGCAAATTGAGACTCAATTCTCTACCAAGATTCAAGTCCTTCGTTCTGACAATGGGGGTGAATATATCAACCATGATTTTCAGACTTACTTCCAAATGCATGGCATCATCCATGAGACCACTTGTCCTAAAACTCCCCAACAGAATGGTGTTGCGGAACGAAAAAATCAACACCTCCTTGAACCAACACGAGCCCTTTTGATTGGAGCTCATGTTCCTCGCCACCATTGGGATGATGCTATAGTTACCGCAGTCTACCTCATCAACCGAATGCCTTCCAAAGTTTTAGACTTCCGGACTCCATTACAAGCACTTGCCCAACATGGGCCCTTGCCCTTCGTTCAGATGCTTACGCCCCGAGTCTTTGGTTGTGTGGCATTCGTCCATCTCCATAAGAATCAACGTGGCAAACTTGATCCATGTGCTCTCAGATGTGTTTTCGTAGGCTATGCCGCTCATCAGAAATGATACCGGTGTTATCACCCCTCCAGCCGTCGTACGTATGTCACTTTGGATGTCACCTTTATGGAGTCTGAGATGTTCTTCCATGATCCGATGAACAAGGAGGCTCTGGAAATTCAAGGACCTGAAGATTGGAGCAAAACAATCCAAAGCAATGAAGTTGAGTTTCGGAACTGGAGCCAAGCGACCGGTCGCCAGGAGCCCAGCGACCGGTCTCCATCAAGGCCTGAAGCTGAATTTCGACTCTGCCCAAAAGCGACCGGTCGCTAGGAGCCCAGAGACCGGTCGTCAGAAAATTCTGAAGCTGGAGTTAGAACCTGCCCAAAAGCGACCGGTCGCCAGGAACCCAACGACCGGTCGCCAGCCCGCCAAGAACACGATATTTCTTCATATTTTGCCAACGAGACTGATGAAGACCCCCCTCACATCCCAGTACCCTCTGATCAATCTCCTGAGAATACTCCTGAGGTAAGTGATTCTATTACATCTACTGCTTTAGCTGATGAAACTGTTAAATATGAATTACCTGTTAGACAGAACCGTGGAAAACCACCAATTCGGTACTCACCGGATGGTGGCAAGGCATCAAAATATCCAATTGCCAACTATGTGTCTACTGAAAAATTATCTGAACCTCTCCAGGACTTTGTACATCAGTTATCTGCAATTCATATTCCAACAAAAGTAAGTGAAGCACTGAAGGATCCAAAATGGGTTCAAGCAATGAAGGAGGAGATGCAAGCTCTGGAGAAAAATCATACATGGACACTGGAGACCTTACCTCAAGGAAAGAAGACTGTGGGATGCAGATGGGTTTACACCTTGAAATATAATGCTGATGGGTCAATCGAATGTTACAAAGCAAGGCTTGTGGCAAAGGGATACACACAAACTTATGGTATTGACTACGAAGAAACATTTGCCCCTGTTGCAAAACTTAACACTGTTCGGGTGCTATTGTCCATTGCAGCAAATCTTGATTGGCCTCTCCACCAATTTGATGTGAAAAATGCCTTCTTGCATGGAGAACTCTCAGAAGAAGTATACATGGATATCCCACCAGGATATGTTACATCCACTCATGCTAATGTGGTGTGTAGATTACGAAAGGCATTGTATGAATTGAAGCAGTTTCCCCGGGCATGGTTTGGGCGTTTTACCTTAGCAATGAAGACTTATGGTTTTACGCAGAGTAACTCTGACCATACTCTGTTCTTAAAACACCAAGGCGGGAAGGTAACGGCTCTAATCATTTACGTTGATGATATGATTATTATTGGGAATGATACACAGGAAATCTCTCAACTACAAAAATGTTTGGCAAAGGAATTTGAAATGAAGAACCTTGGTGGACTCAAGTACTTCTTGGGCATTGAAATTGCTCGATCACAGCAAGGCATATTTCTCTCACAAAGAAAGTACGTTCTAGATTTATTGGCAGAAACAGGGATGCTAGATTGCAAACCTGTGGACACTCCAATCGTTCAAAATCACCACCTTGGGGAATATCCCAATCAGATACCCACTAACAAAGAAAGATATCAAAGGTTAGTGGGGCGATTGATCTACTTGTCCCATACCCGGCCCGACATCGCATATGCTGTAAGTGTTGCTAGTCAGTTTATGCATTGTCCAAGTGAAGATCATATGGATGCAGTTCTTCGGATTCTTAAATATTTGAAGTCAGCACCAGGAAAATGACTTATGTTCTCTAGAAATGGTCATCTGAATATCAGTGGCTATACCGATGCGGATTGGGCGGGAAATGTCACTGATAGACGATCAACATCAGGTTACTTCACATTTGTGGGAGGTAACTTGGTTACTTGGAGAAGCAAAAAACAGAAAGTAGTTGCCTTGTCTAGTGCAGAAGCCGAATTTAAAGGAATGACCAAAGGAATTTGCGAACTCCTTTGGTTAAAGCAATTGCTTACAGAGATTGGATTTGCACCTACATTAGGAATGCATCTACTATGTGATAACAAGGCTGCCATATCCATTGCCCATAATCCAGTTCAGCATGATCGGACTGAACATGTTGAAGTGGATCGACACTTCATTAAAGAGAAACTTGAAAACAAAGAAATTCAGCTTCCGTTTGTCAAGTCCGAAGACCAGCTGGCCGATATATTGACAAAAGCAGTTTCTAGCAGAGTATTCCACAACTCACTGGTCAAGTTGGGCATTGGCGACATCTACGCACCAACTTGAGGGGGAGTGTTAGCTTGTAATAGATTAGTTAGTTGGTTACCTTTTCTATCTTATCATCTTGTGTGTGAAACACAAAGTCCTTATTTTATGGTTACCTTGTTTTAGGGAACTTTGCTTTCTTGTCTTAGGGAAACTTTGTTTTCTTGTCTTAGGGATGCCTTGTCTACCTCTTGGCTTGTAGTTATAAATGTGTTGTAAGTAATACAAAGGAAATTAAGTTGAAATCAAAAAATATGTTGCAACTCCAATTCTCTCTACATTCTCCACTTCCTCCACTTAATCTTCTCTATATTTGACAATCCCGACCCACAATCCCTCCCGTCGGAGATTCCCTTGGCCATGCCATCGCTAACGTACTCCCCCACCATCGCTAGCTTGAACCCGACACATGTCTAGTTCCTCTTGGTCAAAACAAAGGGGGCAACGACGTCATGGCTAGCCGGTAATCGTGGTTGTATAAGAGCAAGGCCTGGATGCTGTTGTAGTAAATTCTAAGCTTGTGGTTGGGGTTGGCAGCAAGGTGGGTGAGGTCCTAGGTGGCAGTGAGCTCAGAGTGAGTGTCGTTGAGTGTGAAAACGGAGGCCAAGTCGACCCGAAATTCTAGGAAGCGGGGCCGGAGGGCTAGCCAGGCGATGAAGAAGACGAGGGACATGACGGCGAAGACAGCAACGACAACAATAAGGAGGCGGCATAGGAGGGTGGGCCTGTTGGGAGCGAGTAGTGTGGGCAGCGAGGGTGCTAGTTTGGACTAGGGGGAGGGTTGGGAGGAGAGTGATGTAGAGATATTTTTGTTATTTTAAATTTTAACTTTCAATTAAAAAAAATTATCTTTTTATTATTTTTTTCCAGCTTTTGTTTTTGGACCGAAATGCCCCTCCACAACTAACAGAAGTTACTCTATTTTGACAAAAAAATGAAATTTGTCATTGAATTGCTTAAATTAAAAATCACAGGGACAAAATTGATCAAATTGAAACGATAAGGACCAAAATAATAAAAGTGGCAAACTACAAAGACCAAAAATGACTTTTTACCCTTCATTTAACATATTTCTATCTCATGTTATCCTAATATCATATCACCCTTTTGTCATTTCATCTAAAAAGTAAAAATTTAACAGTTAAAATATATTTTAAAACATCAAGTAAATAAAAAGAAAATAAATTATACATGTGTATTATTGAAGGAAAATACTAGAAACAAGGCAAATTATAGAAACAAAGCAACTCCAAAAATATTCACATTTGGATTGGAGGGAACGGAATTTAGTCATTTGATCTGTGAACTCACCCCTCAATAGGGGCTCAATATGGCGGGAAAATGTCCTTATAGTCCTTACCACATATAAAATCCCTAGCCCTCTGCTTCTCCTCTCTCTCTTCGAACCCCTCTCCACTGCTTCAATCTCACACCCACATCATCATTCTCGTCTATCTCTGAGTGCCCTAAGACACCTCCCCCAACAAATTGGTACTTTTTCTCGAAAACTCACTTCCCCATTTCGTCTAGGGTTTACTGTTCTAGGTTGTATTCTTTCCTTACTTGCAATTGTTGATGAATTTCTTGACTGACATTTTTGTTTTTCAAATTGGGTTTTGGGTACAGAGGTTTTGCGCTGAAGCAAATTTATTGTCTTTGTGCAGATGGACAGTGCGTTTGAGGATGAGGCTGAACACACCGTTTCAATCCAAGAGTATCTCAAGGATGTTGAGGATCAGGAACTGGTTTGCCTCTTTTTATCATAATCAGTTACTAATTTGCCCAAAGTGTTTTACTTTTGTAAGATGTCAGTGAAATTAAATGGGTTAAAATGTTGCATTTTACCATTTTTTGCGTTTTGAAGACAATACTAGGTTTAATCTTGAACAGAGTTGTTATAATGAGCTAAGCAGGTTTTAAATGGATAAGCAATCCATTCAGGTTCGATTGGCTTAAGGGTTATGTAACTTCTCTGCGATTGAGTTGTCTTTCGTGAATGTACATACTTGCTTGGTTGGACAGCTAACTTAATACTTAACAATATTTAAGATATTTCTTGTAACAGAAAAATTAGTAAATGTTGAAATTGCGAATATGAAAAGAAAATAAATTTTGCAAACGGGGATTAAGTTGCAAAGAATTACTACTTCTGGGGTTGTAAACAAGACCAAATAAGGTAAAGTTAGTAGTCGGAAAGCTTTTCGAGAGTTTGAGTTAGGCACAGCCAACCTGGACTGGGCTCACAAGTCCTGATTAAGTTAACAAAGGTCATGATTGGTCCTCTTGGACGCAGAAGATTGAGCTCAGCTCATTCAAAACGTATTTAATTGTTCAACTGGGCGAAGGGTTGGTGACCAAATATTTGATTTTTTGAGGGATGGCAGAAGATCTGAGGAAGGATTAAATCAAATAGTGATGGATTGTGAAAATGAAACATAGATTAGTAGTTTGTCTTTGGGGAACTCTATTCTTAATTCCAGAATTCCCAGTTCTTCTACTTTTTCAGACTGATTAATTTGATGTTTAGTCTTGTCCCATTTAACTAATCAGCTTTCAAACAATGTCTTGTTTATACAATTGTTTAATCAATGAACCAAGCCAAATCTTATGAGGAGCAGGAGCAATTATCTTCTGGGACTGCTTGATCCGCCTTCATAATCTTAAATTTGAAAAGAGTAGTACAGACTTCAAATAAAACATTACTAATGCTTTCTAGTTATTTCCTACTTTTTGGTGTTTGATCATTTATAGGAAGCTGATTTGGTTTTGGGAGGCGATGAAGGCAAGGAGTGTACCTATAATAATGGTTACATGAAGAGGCAAGCAATTTTCTCATGCTTGACTTGCACCCCAGACGGGAATGCAGGAGTTTGCACAGCTTGCAGTTTGTCTTGCCATGATGGCCATGAGGTATTTTGATATTCTTACCAACTGTAAATATTTATGTTAAGTTCATAAAATAAGGCTTTGCAGTTTTTGTTTTCATTTCTTATATCACCCATTCAGTGGTCTTTGTTCTTTTGGGTTCTGGTATTCCTGGTGTGTTATTTCTACTGCTTGAAATGTTTTATACTATTTCAAGTTTGTTATATCTTGATGTATTAGTGCCTAAATCTAATGATGGCCATTCTTATTACTTGGAGAAGATTGTAGAACTGTGGACCAAGAGAAATTTTAGATGTGATTGTGGAAATTCAAAATTTGGAGAATTCTTCTGCAAGCTTTTTCCAAATAAAGACGTGGAAAATGTTGAGAATTCGTACAACCATAATTTCAAGGGTTTATACTGCACCTGCGGTCGCCCCTATCCTGATCCAGATGTTGAAGACCAAGTAGAGATGATACAGTGCTGTGTGTGTGAGGACTGGTTCCATGAGGAACATATCGGCCTTGACTCTTCTGATGAGGTTGGTAGCTTGGGCTATTTACATATTTGACATGTTTTATACTCCTTTTGTTTCATTTTGTTGGCGATATATCTACATCATGTTTTCTCCTACTATAAGGCAAGGCATGTTTCCTATCCAAGTGGTGTAATTAACATTGTACTGGGTTTTGGGTCATGCTGTCAGTTTGAACGGCCAATATTTATGATGAGTCTTACAATTTCTCACCTTTTGTGCCGATTAATCATCAGTAACAGCAAATCAAATATTTTGGGGCTCATTGTATACTGCTGCTGCTTGTATTTTAGCTATGATATCAGTTGAGGGGGTAAACTCTGATACTGTTCCTTATCAGTTGGATATGGCTTTCCATCAGTTTGGAGGAAAGTTGATCAATGTAATGATAATTTTAATATAGTTGTACTAGATTGCTAAATCCTCACTTTGAAGTACTTTAGCCACGCTAAATCTTGAAGGTAGTCTTCCTGCTTTTGTTCTAAGGATTTTAGACCTTTTGTGAAAATTTGAATTTTAGCATGAAGACTTATCTTTCTATTTTTATAGGGTTAGAGTATACATTTACTTGTAAAAAAGAAATTATCTTTGATCTCTCTCAATTGCGACGATCACATCTAAACTTTTCCAATTTTTAATGGTTGATGTTCTATCCAAGAACCCTGCTTACATTCTACTTGTCCTTGATTGTACTACAGATTCCAAGAGACGAGGAAGGTGAACCTCTATATGAGGATTTTATATGTAAGGGATGCTCAGTAATTTGCTCTTTTTTAAGGCTATATAGTCAAACCATCTTGGCGGCAGGAAGCCAAAAAGATTCTTCCATTAATACTGGCAAGGATAAAGAAGTTTTGGAAGACGTGACTTTAGCTTGTGGATCTGGAAAGCTGGAGAATAATATTTCTCATAGTTCTAATATTTCTGAACCTGTGTCTGGTGGGGAGGGTTTGCTCCTTGGAGAAAATTCTGGGAAAAATATAGGTTCTGATCAATGCACGACAGATGACAATTCACAAGTTACTTGTGTTCTTGGAGTTAATCTGGTGGATGCTTCCCCTGTTTTGGAATGTAAGCCATTGTTTCTATCAAAAAACTGGAGGGATGCACTCTGCAGGTGTGAAAAGTGCAGTGAATTTTATGAACAGAAGCATATCAGGTTTTTACTTGACAAGGAAGACACGATTATGGAGTATGAGAAAATGGCAAAGCAGAAGAGAGAAGAAAAATTGCAGCAACAGGAGGGGGCTGAGTTGACTATGCTCGATAAACTTGGCCATGTGGAGAAAATAGAGATTCTGAATGGCATTGCAGACATGAAAGATGAGCTTCGTTCTTTCCTGGTATACCCTTGATTATTATAAACTTTAATTTTGTTCCGTTAAGTGCTTATAAATATAATCTTAAATAATGTAAGAGACCATTTTAGAGTATGCGCTTTTATAAATACGCGATTTTAAGTTGTGCTCAAATGTATGCTGCACAATTTTGCAGGAATCATTTGATACATCAAAGGCCATCACGTCTGATGATGTCCACCAGGTTTTTGAGAATCTAGCTAAGAAGCGCAGGCGTGTAGAGTAAGTTATTACTGCATCTTTGCTGTGTTAATGTTATTAACCTTCTATGTTTGCTTTTGGAGTTACTCCCGGTTTCAGTAACAGTATTAAAAGCCTGTGCACATCTAGGCTGTTCTAAGTTAGAATGTTCTACTAGTGTCAATGCTACTACCTTGCAGACTTATATCTTAACCTTATGACAATAATTTGAGGTTCTTCTGTCCATTTGCTCGACATGAAATGTTTCTATAAGCGACTATATCTTACAATTTGGTATTATTGTGTTGCAATCTATGAGGACAGGGTATGCATTTGTACATGCTTTCAAAACGTTATGATGACGTAAGAAAAAGGAACAGTTCGGATTATGAGATGACATTGTGGAGCGGGTTCAAACGAGTGGTTAGCGTTTGAGCTCTCGTATACAAACAATAAACTCAAATCTGCTGTGAGACTAGATGTTGATTTGTTCCATGGGCTTAATAATTTAAAGCTTGTTTGGCACTTAAATATTGGGTGGGGCTGAGTAAATCTTGGGGCCGTGATTTTCTGATTCACAAATAAATATCCCCTTATGAAATGCAGTTTTGTCAACACTCCTTAACAGGAGGGGACAAAAGTAGGTTTGGCTTTGGTTTTTAGCCCTCCCTTGGAGACGGAAAATGATTGTATTCATTTGTTTTACAGTTGATCGAGTCTTTCCAAAATTAAAATAGTCATTATCCTACCTAAACTTTGGAGACTGTCTGTCGAGTCAGAGGACTAATGTACCGCTGATTTATGAAAATGAAATCTTTATTTTTTGTAAGCCAAGATCATTCAAGTTTATATGATTTCATTGAAGATTTGTATAACTTATAGTTTTTTCGGTTGTTAAAAGTGACCCAATTGTATTAAACTATTATCATTAGTCATATAAAAATTCAAACTCGCCTTGTATTTTAAACAAGTCAAGATTTCTCTACGTTTCTTCTGTGCATGGGGTTTTTGTTTTCTTGGGGTGCCATGTATTTTCGTCATTGGTCGTCATGATGACTTCAACACACCCCCTATTTTTCTTGATTACCAATTATTCAAAACGTAAGCACTCCATCTATTTTTCTTAATAATATTAGAGTCGTGATTGTTAACAAAAACAAAACATCAAAATTGTCAAAATTAAAATGGCATGTATCAAATTATAAGGACCAAGATTGTAATTTGGCCAATATGTTAATGTTTTTAGTTTGGGCTATTTAGATAATTGGGGTTTCAACTTTCAAGGCTAATAGATTCTCCAAAGGGTGGGGAGAATGATTCACACATTGCATTGCTATTGTAACACATGTTCTATGCGGCGGCTCTCACAAAAGAGTGAGACCGGCAGCCGCATAGGGCAGTCGCATAAGACAGCCTGACCTAAGATTTCTTTCCAAGTTTGTGGCGGCTTTCAAAGTAGACAAAGGTCTAATCAATTTAACAGAAAATCAACCTTTTCACAGTATTGTAAATAAGAATGGTCGATACTTTATAATAAACCTTAATTACAGTCCTTAGTTTGCTTTACCCCAAAAAAAAAATTGGAAAAGGGCTCATCATATTCGTGTTCATACCTCTTTTAAGGAAGAAAAAGCTTGGGTCCTAAACTTTTGCAGACCTAAAGTAATATAAGTGCTTATTAGGCTGGATTTTATTGTTTTTAATGACAAAGTGATCAATCATTAAAACAAAATTGAAAATTAGTCACTCTCTAAAGTGAGTGATCGCTAAAAAGAACCATATATCACCACAAAAGTATATCCTTGAAATCTAGAGGCCAGATGTTTTCAACCATAAGCCCCTTTCTCTTGACCCTATGTTTTCAATTCAATCGTAAAAACTAAATCTCAAATTTTCATTGGTGTGCCTTTACGATTTTCTTCTTCTGCTTTTGAACTTCTATCTCTTTCACCCAAAATTATTTATAAAAAAATCAAAAAAAGAAAAGTAAAGTTGCATTCAACTTTGAAAATAAATATACGAAGTAGGTAAATTTCGTGGACATTTTCTACGTAAATTATGGCACATTCACATGCACACTTGGAAATATTGGTATAAAATTAATTTCTTTTTATTTTATTTTTCTTTCCCTCGATGCAATGGCCTATTATTTTGAAGATTAAAAGGATAATAGAAAAAGAAAAAACTTGCTGAAATAGAGGGAAATTATAAATAAAAATGAGACTGCGTAAGCAAAAATTATAGAAAAAATATATAAATGGTGTCGGTGTGAGACTGTGTAATAATTTTCCATGTATTTTCGTAAAATTAAAATATTTTATATTTTGATGCATCCCATCCCACCATCCGTGCTTACTGATAACTATAGAAGAAAACAAAAACCCTAGTAGACTATGGAAAAGACAGGACTTGTGGCTATATATCTATTAATTTTGGCAACCTTGTATTATAATATCATGGTTGGCAGAGGAGGTTAGGTTACATTGCTGTACGCCCGTGACATGTCGGGGAATGGGGTCCATTAATTTTGGACATGAAACTTCTGTAGATTTAGCCTACAGATTCCACGAAATTATGTTCACATTGTCCACGAAAGGGGGAAAACTGTCGTTGCAATATTAGGAAGAAACTGATAAAGACGTGTACAGAAAACGGAAAAATATGAGAGTAGAGTTCAAGCAAAAATTCATTTGTACATGTTGGGCTCTAAAAAAGGTGGATGTGAATCTCCTTATTTTTGGCAAATCTTACACATTTTCTGTGAGAATCCGGCATAATGCGTTAGACATGTTTAAACATTTATTGTTATCAAATTTAGTGCCGTGACAAAGAGGGTTTTTTCTTCCGTTTTTGTTGTGTAGTTTGCATTTTCAAATATTTCAATCAATAATTTGGTGGCTGCAAGTACTTTCCGATTTGGACAAACTGTGATAAAATGATTATTTGGCCCGTACCTCCATTGTTTATATGAAGAATAGTAATTTCCATGCGCCGACATATGATTCTGCTCTTTAATAATTAACTTCTGTTGTAACCAAAAGAAAAATATTCAAAGAAATTAGCATTTAGATGTGAATCACATCAGTTAATTATAATAAAATGTCGGTTTTTTTAAAAAACATATCGACAATAGTTGCGACTCTTGTGAGCGCTTAGCTAGGCATTATGCAGTAACAGGGCCTTAAAATGTCACAAGCAGACATATGCATAGGCAGTGACATAAGATTTTCTCACTTTTAAATTTAGAAGAATCAAAACTCGTGAATGAAACAAGTATACGCCCTTGACCCAAAAAAACAAAAAAAAAACAAGTATACGTAATCTTTTTCTTTGTTTTTATTTATTTTATTTCTTCCATTTCACACCTATATAAATACATGCTAGCTCCCTTCTCTCATCCATTCCATTACATGCTCTAACTAGCTATATATATCTACCAGCAGAAAAAAGCACTTCAACATTAACCCACTTCTCCATCAAAGCCTGATTTTTCTTGTGTCCAAAACTTGTTTTAATGGTTTTGATTTAAAACAACAAAAAAAGTTGTTTAAATCAAAACTTCTCATTTTGAGGAAGGTGTGGTTCTTAATTATTTTGTAGCAGACACAACCCAAGACCATGGGAAATTGTGTGGAGACATGCACAGAGAGGCAGCAAGGAGAGGATCAAATGCAGCAGCAAAAGCATGAGCAAGAAGAAAGACAAAATGAAATTAGGTTTGTGAAAGAGAAAGAGAGCAATTTGAGCAAAGATGGCAACATAAGGGTGAAGATTGTGTTGACCAAGGAAGAGCTAGAGTGGTTGATGCTTCAGCTGAAAGATAGAGGAGGGAAGAGCTTGGAAGATGTTTTGGAGGAGATCCAGAGAAGCAGAGCTAAAGTTGAGGAAGGGTGGAAGCCTTCTTTGGAGAGTATCATGGAGTGCCCTGAAGTAAATGAGATGGATAGATGAGTCTCAAAATCCAAACTCTTTTTGTTTTTCTTTGTTTGCAGAGTTTAATTTGATGTGGGTGATGATCCAATTTTGTAATTAAAAGTTTCTGAAATGGTGAGCCCAGATGTGGTTTGAGATGTAAAACAACTTTCCCTTGCTCTGATCTTGGTCTTCTTCCATATTTTCAATTGGGAATTTGGGATTGTTTTTTTTAGTACAAGCGATTGGGTGAGGAGGGGAGTGTACACACAAATATAATATTGATTGGGTACTTGAGGGTTTCAAACCTCTGTACACATGAGTGGAGATGGAAGAGCTCATCCAACAAAACTGTACCAGTGAATTTGGGACTGTATAAAATGACCAAATTTGAATCTTTGGGTACTAATTAAGTTCTTATTTACCTTCAAAATTAACCAATTTTGTGATACTTAAGAATATATGCATGTATTTGGCATCTGTCCATGCAAGTAGATAACATGCCCGTACAAATTCAAGTTGAAAAGTGGCTTTTAAATTCTCTTCAAATCTTTATGGTCCAAGTTGAAGTTGGCTAGTCCAAGTCGGTTTGCCAAGAAACATACCTTTATTATTTTTGGGTTTCCTTTTCTGAAGATTGTTGATGTTTTTAGCTAGCATTTTGCAAAGTTTTCTTATACATACTCGTTAAATTTAAATCCAGAGAGTTTGATTCAATAAAATCTCATATATTTTCCCATGTTTATATTCTGTTAAGAGCCAGTGAAATTCAGAAATCTGTGAAGTATTTGCTACCTTTCAATCATCATTCCAAGAAGAACTAGTGGAAAATCGATGTTGAAAAAAGAAAAGAAAAAAAGTAAAAAGGTATATATATTTAGATACTCCATCAAACTTAATATATACATGTACATATATATAGTAGGGGTCCCCAAAGTTGAAGTGAGCACCTAACTGCATGTGGGGTTTGAATTATTTATGGATGGTTAGACTAATGAAACATGATATGGTGTGTCTCACAAGTTTAATTACCATTTTGCCACATGCATTAACTCCGTACAGAGACTTGCAGCCCATTTCAACCCACAAACTTCTACATGTTTTGACCAAAAATAATAAAACTTCTAACATGTTGACATACAGATTACAGAACACCATGGAAATTTGTGGCCTTCATTCATGCTTGAGCTCTTGCCAAACTGAATTTAATAGCCAGAAGAAAATCAAGTAACCAATAATATTATCTAGGCATTGAATTTCATTCATAATTTCTGAATACTTTTTTGGGAAAAAAGAGAGGAAGGATTCATAGTAATCTCTCACAACAGAAACAGTAGCAGGCTCTAATTTGAGCGACACTGACACCCTACAAGTTAAAGTTAAGGCAACCCAAACCAGACAGTTTTTTTACCAAAGGCCCATACACCTGAAAGAAATCATAGGCCGGATATCTTATGATGCTTTGCATATTCAAATCATCATTGGGTAAGTTGGGACCCAATTACTGGCAAAGCCCTATTCAAAATCTGTGGTGAGATTTCGATTGCTGAATTACATAATACATGCAAATTGGTGAAGCTCATCATCCTTAGCTCAAGTGACCTGGAGTACGTGTGTAGCGGTAGAGACCAATTAGATGCATGGAGGTTAACGTGCAGGACCATCTATAACAGAAGAAAAAAAAACCTAAGGACCAGAAGTGACAGTTTCGTGTATCAATCACAGAGACGTTTTGCGATAGAAAACTCTTAAAAAGAAAGAAAACCCAACACCCTTTCGAAACAATTTTGAGAGTGGAAATTACAGTTTAAGCCTGCATGCAATTGAATTTATATCTTCTGTTGTGGACTTAGTCAAATAGGCCTATGTATATCTGAGGACAGACCTATGTAAACTATATAAACGATAGAAAGGACTTCTCCTGAAGTACCAATTAATAAAGTGGTAACCTTGATACTGTAATTGAGCAAATTATAACTTTCATTAGATCCAACGAAAACTGCAGCATATCAGAACATAATCATCAGGTAATTACATATTTCAAGTGAAATTTCACATGCTAATTTGCTACTACTACATACTGAAGGCCAAAAAAAATTAACCAATACTCCCAATCATGTAAAAATATTTGAACTAACTGTCAGTATTCTTCAGGGATGGTCTTCAGAACTGCTGGACCAGCACCACAGCAATTGGCTGGTGACGGTTCAAAACTAACACGACCCGTTGGAATCTGCGCGAGCGCAAGAGTTACATCCTTGAATTCGAGAACCCCTCCATTTTTGCACTTGGAAAGCATTTGTGCCGCTTCTTGCTTCGTCATCTTAATCTTTACTCTGATCACTTCTCCTTTCTCCTCAGTTGCACTGCCATAGCTTGATCTCCCCCCACAAAGTTTCCCATCTTCCAATTCCCTCTTGATCAGTGGCTCTGAACTTTCAAAGCAAGTACTGCCATTCATCTTTTGCTTCTTTGAAAATGGCTTTTTACTTAACTCATCTCTGTATATAAAAATTTTTACATTGGGTTTCTCTAAAAATTTTTACATCGGGTTTCTCTAGTGCTAGCATGGCATCTATTGTTTTGATCCCATTGAACAAAGAAAGGAAAGAGTTCAACGAGAGAGAGAGAGAGAGAGAGAGAGAGAGAGAGAGAGAGATAGATAGATAGATAGATAGATAGATGATGCATAATGAAGTTGAGGATATGTGTTTATATAGCAATTAATTTGTCATATAGTTTAGATAGAGACAGCATGGAGTGTTAGATGGGGTATGGTCATCTTGCTGGGCAAAAATTTCTGCAAGTGCATCATGATTCATGAGGTGTGCACAAAGTCTCTCTACCAGTCAAGCTCAAGTGGTAGACTGTCAAAAGACTAAGGGGAACCCGAAGCACAAGCAAAACTAATGTGGCAGTAGAAACAGACAAATACCACTTTGGAATTGGTCAGTGCAATGTTTTTTTTTTTGTTGTCGAAGGAATTGGTCAATACTTTTTTTTTTCTTTTTTCTTGTTATGAAGGAATTGGTCCATGCTCTTTATGTCTCTTTCTACCCAATTTCGAATTTCCCTCCTTATAGATAAATTAGAATAATTTAGAATATTACTTTATCAAAATAAAAATAAAAATTATAAGTTCAATACACTTAATTCTTAAAATCTTAACTTATGTATAAAAACAATATCCCTAGAGGGGAGGGGTGCCCTCAAACTTGTTTGGCTTGTTTTCATTCGTAACAGCTCATGTTTTTTGGGGCTCTAAAACGTGTTGCAACAATTAGTTGGAGAATAAAATTGGGAGATTCACTATTATACCCAATATAGAAGCCCAAATTATTTATATAAAAAAACCTTATATGAAATGGACTTTAGAAACACACCCAAAGCCCATTTACAACATAATAAAAAGGCTTTTAACTTCTTTTAAATTACACAACTGCCATTGATTCCTTAAAACAAACTCAACCCCAAAACCTCATAAAAAAACCCAAAACACTCAATAGGGCATCAAAGTAATTTAATAATCAAAATTAAATTCAATAGGACCAGGTATCATTTTTCGGGTTTTTTTTGGGTTTGTTTATAGAAATTAACAAAATATCTCAATAAATTTGTAGTTAGTGCAAAGTAAGTTCTGATATTTTAGTCAAGTTTTATGTGTTAAAAACAAAAGCAATCTAGCTTATAGGATAAAAAGATGCATTATTTGGCTGATGTTAGGCTTAATGAATTCTTTAAATAGTGTCATCTTTTTTTAGGTGAAACGATAATAAATAGTGTTATGTTTTAATTCAAAAAACAATGTGTAATTAGTAGTGGACCACCTACTTTGATTATACTCATTTTCGTTTTTCATAATTTGTATTGAGCCATACAACCCAATGAAACTAATCGAACGTTTACCATGACCAAAGATGGAGATTTCAATTTTCAAAACCAAACTGTTAAATATCAATGACGCTCATAAACTTTAATTAGTCAGCTGGAAGAAGTAGATTGAAATTGATCTTGGTGTCTTCTCCTGTGATTCTCAATACGCGTTTTGGATAGTCTCGTGCATTATGAGGCGGACTTGACGTGTCAATGCGTTTGATCTCAGCACCTAAACTTCCAACTATTGGCATTTTGAAAAACTACAAAAATCATAATGTCAATGAACTTGAAGAACGGGGCACGACGAGGTTCAACATCAACACAATAAAGTGGTTTGTTCTAACTCAAGTTATTCGGAAAATCTTTAAAGGGTCTAGCTCATATTTGGGACTCTTGAATATTCAAATTAACGATTTCTTCTCTTTTCATTTAAGAGCAGAAGAGTGTGAGAGTCAAATTATTGTCGTGAGTGTGAGAATAAGTTCTCTACAACTACAGCAGTTGAATCATCTAATAACACAAAATTCTTAGTATTGATTTATGAATTATTAGAAATCTCGTTGGAATCTAATAAATTACAACAACAAAAGTCACCAACACTAAATAATAATAATTAGACATAAGTTGCATGCAGGGACGGATCATAGGCATAGCTAACTTGGGCTACAACCCAGGTTGCTTTTTTGTTTTCCCAGGCCATAAAAAAATTATAGCCCAGCCAATTGAATAAGCTACTATCCTAAGGAATTCCTTGCCGTGCACGTGGAAAATATAATGGAGAAAAGGAAAGCTGCACATCTCTACACATAGGGAAAAAAAAGAATGCACAGCTAGCGTAAAAAAAGAAAGAAAAGTAGAAGAAATTGTTTATGTCCCCCTTTGACTAGGTGTATTATTATTTGTTGTTATCAATGAAATTACATTATACGGTCGAGTTTTCTATCTATTTAGTATGTTTATATATACGTTAAATTTAGCCTAGTCAAGTTTGAAATCATGAGTCTGTCCCTAGTTGCATGGTCAAGCCAACGTGTTTACTCAAAACATAATTCGTAAAGGTTCATTGTTTTTGGTTTTGTACATTATAAAGGTAAAAACTAAGATATAATATGTAAAAATCAAAATACAAATATGGGATTATGACAAAATTTGAAAGTTAAGAAGAATCAAGTGAGCCTTCTGAGCCTTGGTTGGCTTTGTCAAATTTTTAACATGTTGTTGTTGAGTACAAAATTCACAATAGTTCCTAAAAAAATAAAACAAATCAACTTTAATTGAATGAAAAAAATATATAAACTTATTTCAGAATGACAATCTAATAAACGGACAAAAAAACACAAGTGATTGTCATTGTCCAACTAAGCAATAATGACTCTAAAAAATTAAATATTGCGATTAATCAAGGATCAATCCATTATTACAACCAAATATCAAATGAGTATGGCTTGGCTCCTTAAGATTAAGGCGGAGGTCCTCTTTAAAACCAATGCAGTTTTGACACTTATCAAATTCCAAAAACAT